TCTTCATGTGTCTTCTTCATCAACATGTGTCCCCTCTTCTTCATGTCTCTTCTACATCAACATGTGTCCCCTCTTCTTCATGTCTCTTCTACATCAACATGTGTCCCCTCTTCTTCATCAACATGTGTCCCCTCTTCTTCACGTCTCTTCTACATCAACACGTGTCCCCTCTTCTTCATGTCTCTTCTACATCAACACGTGTCCCCTCTTCTTCATGTCTCTTCTTCATCAACATGTGTCCCCTCTTCTTCATGTCTCTTCTACATCAACATGTGTCCCCTCTTCTTCATGTCTCTTCTACATCAACATGTGTCCCCTCTTCTTCATGTCTCTTCTTCATCAACATGTGTCCCCTCTTCTTCATGTCTCTTCTACATCAACATGTGTCCCCTCTTCTTCATGTCTCTTCTTCATCAACATGTGTCCCCTCTTCTTCATGTCTCTTCTACATCACAATGTGTCCCCTCTTCTTCATGTCTCTTCTACATCAACATGTGTCCCCTCTTCTTCATGTCTCTTCTTCATCAACATGTGTCCCCTCTTCTTCATGTCTCTTCTTCATCAACATGTGTCCCCTCTTCTTCATGTCTCTTCTTCATCAACATGTGTCCCCTCTTCTTCATGTCTCTTCTACATCAACATGTGTCCCCTCTTCTTCATGTCTCTTCTACATCAACATGTGTCCCCTCTTCTTCATGTCTCTTCTTCATCAACATGTGTCCCCTCTTCTTCATGTCTCTTCTACATCAACATGTGTCCCCTCTTCTTCATGTCTCTTCTTCATCAACATGTGTCCCCTCTTCTTCATGTCTCTTCTTCATCAACATGTGTCCCCTCTTCTTCATGTCTCTTCTACATCAACATGTGTCCCCTCTTCTTCATGTCTCTTCTACATCAACATGTGTCCCCTCTTCTTCATGTCTCTTCTACATCAACATGTGTCCCCTCTTCTTCATGTCTCTTCTTCATCAACATGTGTCCCCTCTTCTTCATGTCTCTTCTTCATCAACATGTGTCCCCTCTTCTTCATGTCTCTTCTTCATCAACATGTGTCCCCTCTTCTTCATGTCTCTTCTACATCAACATGTGTCCCCTCTTCTCATGTCTCTTCTACATCAACATGTGTCCCCTCTTCTTCATGTCTCTTCTTCATCAACATGTGTCCCCTCTTCTTCATGTCTCTTCTACATCAACATGTGTCCCCTCTTCTTCATGTCTCTTCTTCATCAAACATGTGTCCCCTCTTCTTCATGTCTCTTCTTCATCAACATGTGTCCCCTCTTCTTCATGTCTCTTCTACATCAACAGTGTCCCCCTCTTCTTCATGTCTCTTCTTCATCAACATGTGTCCCCCTCTTCTTCATGTCTCTTCTTCATCAACATGTGTCCCCTCTTCTCATGTCTCTTCTACATCAACATGTGTCCCCTCTTCTTCATGTCTCTTCTTCATCAACATGTGTCCCCTCTTCTTCATGTCTCTTCTTCATCAACATGTGTCCCCTCTTCTTCATGTCTCTTCTTCATCAACATGTGTCCCCTCTTCTTCATGTCTCTTCTTCATCAACATGTGTCCCCTCTTCTTCATGTCTCTTCTACATCAACATGTGTCCCCTCTTCTTCATGTCTCTTCTACATCAACATGTGTCCCCCTCTTCTTCATGTCTCTTCTTCATCAACATGTGTCCCCTCTTCTTCATGTCTCTTCTTCATCAACATGTGTCCCCTCTTCTTCATGTCTCTTCTACATCAACATGTGTCCCCTCTTCTTCATGTCTCTTCTTCATCAACATGTGTCCCCTCTGTGTAAAGAGACTCTGAAAGTTTCAGGAACAAAGATTCTCTCTCTTTTTGATCCATTTCTATAAAAACCTGTCTGAAAATGAGCTGATCAGATTTTGGCCACTTTGTGATGTCATAGTGATGTTTTGTCTTGTGTAACCATTAGCCAATCAGCAACCAAGGTAACCCCCCCCCCCACCTTATCACCTGAATCTCCTCCTAGAGCACCATTGAGTTCTTTGTAACCAAATCTCTCTCAGAGGGGCGTGGGGAGGGGCTCCTTATTTTCATCTAAAGTAACAGACAGAGAATCAGCACTTTGGAAACAGGGCTGAAACAGAGGGGATTATGGGTAATGCTGCAATGATCTGTTTGGTGTTTCAGCCAATCAGAGACAGGCTCTGTATATATCTGAGACCTGTGATATATTGATGAGAAACAGTATAATAGGAGACCTTTAAAATACTTAATAAAGGATGTTTTGTGTGTAGAGGATTGCTTTAGGATCTCTGGGCTTCTGCAGACAGAACATTTGCACAAATAAGTAAAAACTATTATTTTAAATCTGAGTGAATTGCCCCTTTTCTGCAACGACATAGCAAGAAAAGCCTCACTGTTCCAGATACATCTTATTCTCATTGAATTAGTTTTAAACCTGTTCAGTTTAATAGCGTTTTTAAAGCCACCAAATCTCTGGATGTCTTTATTTTTCCCTTTTTTTTTTACATTTATTTTGACTTACGGATTGTTATCTAGTTATTTAAATAATACATTCTTAAAATGCAAATAAAATAAAGACATTTTGAATGTGTGAGTTGATAAATGATTGTTGTTTATATTTGCTAGAGCTCTCTAGCTATATAGAGTTATATATCTAGAGCTCTCTAGCTATATAGAGCTAGAGAGCTCTAGATATAGAGCTCTATATCTAGAGCTGGGATCATGAGAACGGTGCAAAGTCACAAAAAGACGTTTAAATTCAAACCAAATCTGAACTTAAAGCTCACTTTTATTTCGCAGGTCATCCATTCAGTGCTTTTACAAACATTAAAGAAAAACGATTAAAGAAGAGCAGAAGAGAAGAGTCTTCCGTATAAAAATATAACTTCTTTAAGGGGAAGGAGCAGCCAATCAGCTTCACCGAGCCAGGTCACCTGATCAAACAGGAAGTGGGAGAGGAAAACGTTCTGCAGTTTCCAGAGATTCTGGGTTAGAGGTCAGGGGTCAAAGGTTAGAGGTCACGGGTCCTCGGGGGTCCCACACTTCCTGTTTCGGACCTGAATCACTTCCTTCCTGTCCTTCAGGAAGTTTCCGAAGGCGTCCGTCTCTTTGCTCTCCTCCGTTGCTGAAAAAAAAGGATGACCTTCAGATTTCAAGTGTGTGTTTTTTCAAAGAGTATACTTGGATTTTCATTTAGTGTATAACTGTGTTTTTTTTCAGAGTTCAAGTGTGTTTCTTCACACTGTACCTAAGTTTGTTTTTACAGTGTTCATAGTGCTTTTCTAGAGTGTATACAGCAGTGGCGTAGCCAGGAATGATTGTGTTGGTGGGCCTGGAGAAATGTAGGTGGGCCAGGGGGAGACTTACTAAGCGTGGGGTCTGAGCCGAAACTTCATTAATGATTTTATTTATTTTTGAATGCACTAATTAAACATAAGCATAAACTAGCAGTGAAAACACAAACATAGGCACGGCGGCCTCAGAATGTAAAACTGACTTCCAAAGGACTGGCTCTTCGGCCACAGGTTGTTTATCCTTGCCAGTCGCACAGTGGGCACACACTGAGAGTGTTTTCATATTCAGCACATGTGTACACGCTTCACTGCAGACCTCAAGAAGAAATAAGACTTTCATTCACTCACGGCAAAACTTACTTTACTTACTAATTTGCTCACGCTAAAAAAAAATGCACTCCCTATTCCATTGTCATGAAGGTGGAATCTAACTATATCCAGAATAAGCTTTATTGGATCCAGGCTAGGAACATGTTTATTTCTGCTGTAAAGTTGGGGGTCTATGGAAATGGCTCCTTTCTGCATCCATCCCCTGTCGGCCACTAGATGAACTGCAGTTTGTGGCACTTCCTTCTGGGCTTCCCGGCTCTGCCCCAGAGTTTGCCGCATGTCAGGAATGTCAAATTCGCTATGACGCACTGATTGGCTGTGGGTGGGCCAGACGTGCAGCTACGCCACTGGTATACAGTATACAGTGTTCATAATGATTTTGTTTTTTACAGTGCATAATGATTTTGTTTTTTACAGTGTATACAGTGATCATAATTTTTTTGTTTTTTACAGTGTATACAGTGTTCATAATGATTTTGTTTTTTACAGTGTATACAGTGATCATAATGATTTTGTTTTTTACAGTGTATACAGTGATCATAATGATTTTTTACAGTGTTCATAGTGATTTATGACAGTGTATACATCTTTAACAATTTATACAAATGTTTTTGTGTTTTTACAGAGTTGTGTTTTTTTCTTACAGTATTAACATTTTACAGCATATTTATGTGTGTTAAATTATAAAAAGGGTTTCTGTTTACGCGTAGTACTTGTTTTTTAAAAGCGTATAGTTGTGTGTTTTTACAGTGTGGACGTGTGTTTTAGTACAAGTATTCTTGTTTGTAGTAGTACAGCGTATACTGTTTATTTCTCACCTCCGTGGTCGATGTCGTCCGTGTCGCTGTCCTCGTCTTCCTCGCTGTCGTCAGGGTTACCACGGTTCATGATGAGGTCACTGGGCCCCGCAATGTCAACGCCGTCTTTATGAATAACATCAGGAATAATTAGAGTTGATTCAGAATCAGGTTCATCCCCAGGTACAGGACACGTACGAGGAATTCGGCGTGGTGTCATGGTGCAGACATAAAAGTAATAATAACATTTAAAAATAATAAAAAATATAGTAAAATAAAGGAATGAATACAAATTAAATAAAGCAGTATTTACATTGAAATAGAATGGAATAAAATATAGTCACTTTACAATACTTACCGACGGGAGCTTTTATGACATTCCAGATTCTCAGGCTTTAATATGAAGTTGGTCAGACGTTTGCAGCTTCAACAGCTTTTCAGATTTCTACAATCTTCTGGAGATAACGGTGGGAATGTTTGCCCATTCTCAATTTACCTTTTTCTATTATAAAATGTCTTTCTACTCACAATTTACTTTTTCCTCAGAATCTTTAGATTTTTCCAAGAATTTTGATTTTATTTTTCCAAAAATGTACTTTTTTTCTCATAATTTCAGTTTTTCTCATAATTTTGACTTTTTTCTCAAACTAACTTTTTCTCAGTATGTTTACTTACTCAGAATTGTTTCTTTTTTCTCATAATAGTAATAATAATAATAATAATCATGATTTGGATTTTCTTCTAGGAATTGACCTTTTCCAAAATGTTTCTACTTTGGTATTTTTTTCGAATAATTAAAATGTTTATAGAATTTTGACTTTTTTCAAAAATGTACTTTTTCCTCATAACTAACGGTACGTCTACACAGCAGCGTTAAAAAAATCTTGGAGGTGGGCGTATCTGAAGCTTGAGGATTTTTTGCGAGCAAGGCACGAACAACCAATCACATGAATCTCCCGCCCGCGACATACGAAGCAAAAAAGCCCGAAGTAAACTGGATATAAACTCCCCAAACAGGCGAAAACATACCACTGTCTCTGCCACCTCCCTCCATGCCTGGCTCCTCCGGTTTGTATCCCGGTAGGTAAATAGGGTCTGGTCATAAAGCACCGGGTGATTCCCTACCGCTAATTTCTCCTCCATGTTTTGGAATATGAGGAAATGACCTGTGGTATGTCTCTCCCAGCATACATGCCGTTTGATTGGCTAGAGCTTGAACTGTCAGATTTGCGTACACGGGATTTGATTGGCTGACGCTTCCACCTCAGCTTCAAAAGTTGAACATTGCTCAACTTTGAATCCTCAAAATCCTGAAAATCTCCGCTCGCCTGCCCACAATGCATTTCGGCGAAAAGTGAGGCAAAGTGACGTCGCCCCATTCAAAGTGAATGGGCAGAAGCGTTTCACAAGATTTTTTAAACGCTGCTGTGTGGACGGTCCCCGTAACTTCTCAGATTTTCTTCTCACAATTTACTTTCCCCAGACTTTAGTCTCGTTCCTGCTCCAATGCTTTAGTCCATACCGTATGTTAGTGTTTCTGTGTGATGTGTTTGAACCTCTACCTGTTTTAGGCGTGTTCATATCCACGGCTCCCAGATCCTTCCTGAGTCGCTCCATCTGATCCTGCTGCTTCTTGCTCTGAGCGTCCAGCTGAACACAACAAGCCACTTGTTTACACTAATCAGAGTAACTACACTTAACTAATCATTATAACCATGGCTGTTAAAACAAAGGTATTTTCTTTATCTTTGACAAAACAATCGCTCTCTGTTAACGGCACTATAAATGAATGTTTTTGTTATTTGATGAACTCACCAGCTGTTTGCGGAGTCTTTCATATTCTGGTCGATATTCCCTGAGGGAAAAGGAGGAGAAGTTCAGCTTTTTTAAATTAGACCATATTATCTTTTTCACATATTGAGATTAAAAAAGATACAATTTAGTTTCAGTTATTTCAGAGTGCATTGGAGATGTAGTTTTCCCTTCAGAGGAGTGACTCAGCTGCTCGAGATCTTTCTAAATGACATTAAATGAGATGTGTTTTCAGCGACCTCTCGTATTCGTCTGCAGCTTTCCTCGACCTGCACGAACAGCTCGTCCAGTCCACTTCCCGTCACCCGCAGACACGCCCACCACCTGAGGAGAGAGAGGGTCATGATATTTCACATCTCTAAATTCTAACTTTGTGTAAATATGTTTATTTCTATTTAAATTTTATTGCAACATTTTCTGTTTGTATAACAATGTTCTATTTCTCCTGTTTATCTAAATTATGTATTTACCATTTTTGTTGCATATTTGTACTTGTATGTACTATATATACATATTTGTAATGTATTTGAATTTATTTAACTTTTTATTGAACACTGTCTTGAGTATATATATATTAATATATATATATATATATATATATATATATATATATATATATTATATATAATGTTAATTTGCATTTTTCTTAAACATTTTCTGTTTATATTATAATTTTCTTATTCTATTAAATACTTTTGTCTTTTTTTAAATATTATTCTATTTTTATTGCAACTTATTCATTAATTGTTTTCTACTTACTTTATAGGAATATTTTTAATGTACAGTATTTTTATTTATTCATCTTTTTGGTTTAATTAAAATACATTCTCTCTTTTTTCCTTTTTTCAATCAGTCTTGTGTTTGCATACATTTTTATTCTATTAAACATTGTTATTGCAAAATGTAACTATAAACTCTTATATTTGTATATATTGTCAACGCTTTTTAATCGTATTATTTTATTGCACATTTTCAATTTATTTCATCGTTTTATTCGAATGCTCACCGTTAAACTTTTCAACTTTAATATATTATTTAAAGCATTAATTTGCAACATTTCCACTTCCACTTCCTTGCCTTATAATAACATTAATACACGTGTAATAGTCTTAACAGTGTTGATTTCGCCCAACGGGGCATAACCCTCTCTCTCTCTGTGTGGGGGGGGGGGCCTAACACCTCTCGCTCTGTGTGAGGGGGGGGGCCGAACACTCTCTCTCTAGCGGCTGTTGGGGGGGGGGGCCTAACACTTCTCTCTCTCTGTGTGGGGGGGGGGGCCTAACACTCTCTCTCCTCATTAGTGGGGGGGGGGGGGGGCCTAACACTCTCTCAGCTCGTGTGTGGGGGGGGGGCCTAACACTCTCTCTCTCTGTGTGGGTGGGGGGGGGGTGGGGCCTAACACGCTCCTATCGTCTGTGTGGGGGGGGGGGGCCTAACAGCTCGGTCGCATCCGTCTCTCTTTGTTTTGGTACGCTGAGGATGGAAGATGTGGTAGGGATGTTTGGGTTCCCTAAACACGTCTACTCTCTCTGTGTGGGGGGGTGGGGCCTAACACTCTCTCTCTGTGTGGGGGGGGGGGGGTGTGGGGGGGGGGGCCTAACACTCTCTCTCTCTGTGTGGGGGGGGGGCCTAACACTCTCTCTCTCTGTGTGGGGGGGGGGGCCTACACTCTCTCTCTCTCTCTCTCTCTCTCTCTCTCTCTCTCTGTGTGGGGGGGGGCCTAACACTCTCTCTCTCTGTGGGGGGGGGGCCTAACACTCTCTCTCTCTGTGTGGGGGGGGGGCCTAACACTCTCTCTCGTGTGGGGGGGGGGGCCTAACTCTCACCTCTCTACTCTCGTCTCTCTCTCCTCTCTGTGTGGGGGGGGGGGGCCTAACACTCTCTCTCTCTCTGTGTGGGGGGGGGCCTAACACTCTCTCTCTCTTGTGGGGGGGGGGGCCTAACACTCTCTCTCTCTGTGTGGGGGGGGGGGCCTAACACTCTCTCTCTCTGTGTGGGGGGGGGCCTAACACTCTCTCTCTCTGTGTGGTGGGGGGGGGCCTAACACTCTCTCTCTCTGTGTGGGGGGGGGGGCCTAACACTCTCTCTCTCTGTGTGGGGGGGGGGGGCTAACACTCTCTCTCTCTGTGGGGGGGGGGGGCCTAACACTCTCTCTCTCCTGTGTGGGGGGGGGGCCTAACACTCTCTCTCTCTGTGTGGGGGGGGGGCTAACACTCTCTCTGTGTGGGGGGGGGGGGGGCTAACACTCTCTCTCTCTGTGTGGGGGGGGGGCCTAACCTCTCTCTCTCAGTGTGGGGGGGGGGCCTAACACTCTCTCTCTCTGTGTGGGGGGGGGCCTAACACTCTCTCGCTCTGTGTGGGGGGGGGGGGCCTAACACTCTCTCTCTGTGTGTGGGGGGGGGGGGATACACTCTCTCTCTCTCTCTCTCTGTGTGGGGGGGGCTAACACTCTCTCTCTCTTGTGGTGGGGGGGGGGGGCCTAACACTCTCTCTCTCTGTGTGGGGGGGGGGGGCTAACACTCTCTCTTCTGTGTGGGGGGGGGGGGCCTAACACTCTCTCTCTCTCTCTGTGTGGGGGGGGGCCTAACACTCTCTCTCTCTGTGTGGGGGGGGGGGCCTACCTACACTCCTCTCTCTGTGTGGGGGGGGGGGGCTAACACTCTCTCTCTCTGTGTGGGGGGGGGGGGCTAACACTCTCTCCTCTCTGTGTGGGGGGGGGGGGCCTAACACTCTCTCTCTCTGTGTGGGGGGGGGGGCCTAACACTCTCTCTCTGTGTGGGGGGGGGGCCTAACACTCTCTCTCTCTCTGTCTCTTCGTGGGGGGGGGGCCTAACACTCTCTCTCTCTGTGTGGGGGGGGGGGGCCTAACACTCTCTCTCTCTCTGTGTGGGGGGGGGGGCCTAACACTCTCTCTCTCTGTGTGGGGGGGGGGGGGCCTAACACTCTCTCTCTCTGTTGTGGGGGGGGGGCCTAACACCTCTCTCTCTCTGTGTGGGGGGGGGGGCCTAACACTCTCTCTCTCTGTGTGGGGGGGGGGGGGCCTAACACTCTCTCTCTCTGTGGGGGGGGGGGGGGGGGGGCCTACACTCTCTCTCTCTGTGTGGGGGGCCTCTCTGGGTGTTTCTAAATGTCGAGTAAAGCTGCTCCAGAGCCACTATTCAAGGATGCTACGTCATCGAGTCCCGCCGAAGGACTGTTCCAATGTCCAGGATAATTCTACCGAGGCCGGCGTACTTCGTACCTCCGCGGTCTTAAAATCCCCACAATGCTTTGCGCACAAAACAATTTCCAAAATCTTTGGCGGAAAATATAAGACGGGGCCTCTCATGTGACGCACACCTGCACACTTGCTAGCCTGTTCCATTCTTCGTTCTCCGAATGCCAGGAAGGACTCTTGCCTCGCTTCTGAAGGACCACGACTAAAGACTAACCCCTCGATTCCACCGGGTCCGTCTGCGTCGCGGTTTTGGTCCGGCCTCCTCCGGCGTCATACCCTACCAGGCGCGTTTCAGAAGCATTTCAGAAGCGGGAGCGTCTTGCCTGCCGGCTCGCAGTTTTTGTTGATTTGGGCATATTTCCTGGACAGGCTACTTTGTACAGACAAAGTTAATAATAACTGTAATATTCCAGTTATAAACGACATGAATCAAAGGTTGCTCTATTTTAGTGGTAAAAAAATGCATTCATCATCATAATTATTCTATATATATAATTTACACAGTGCCTGTAAACCGGAGGAGAACGCTGGCATTTCTCCTCCTACTTGAAAGACTACGGAGGGATAGGGTCTGCAAAATTAGTTTATTTTGGGGATGGGCCGGATGCTCTGACCGGTCCACTTCCTGCCTGGTGTGATGCCAACGCCCTCGCGTCGAAAAATAGACTTGAATCCTATTTTGAGCGGAGCCCAGCGGCGACACGCTTCTGGGCCGTAACGTGGCGCGTCTGGTGGAATAGCACCCATTGACTAGAGTGGCCACGATCTTTGCGAACGTCGCGGTTCAGCCGTAACGCGACGCAGACGGACCCAGTGGAATCTAGGGGTAAGACTAAAATGAACACTGCGTCCTGATTGAACTCCCACTCACCCGCAGGTTGGAGTAGAACTCGTCGAGCACGAGGCTCATGGAGCGCGTCAGGTTTCCAACGTACGACGTCTCCTGGTTCAGAGCGTCCTGGAAAACCTCAAAGTCCTGCATCCACTCAACGGCGAAGCTGTGCTCGATGATGTCCGTCTGAACAGAGACAACAGCTGATCAGAGACGTAAACAACAACAAAACAACAACAAACTGAGAGACAACAGCTGATTAGAGAGAGATAAACAATAAACAACACAACAAACTGAGAGACACCAGAGGCCTGTACGACGAAGCCAGATTTCCGCTTAGCGGCTAACTTCAGGGTGAACTCTTGCTTTCCGGTCCTACGACGCTGGTTCTCTTTTTAGCGGGCTAGATCTCCATGGTAACTTATGCTGAGCGGCTAACCTGCTCCGGAGCAGGTTAGGTGGCAGGCTAAGAGATCAACTCAGTGAAAGCACCGCCTGCTGACCAATCAGAGCTCCGTGTGCGGAGTTTAAAGCTATCAAGTCATATTACAGGATAGAGAAAATACAGAAAAACTGCCGTTACAGGAAAGACGGCCGGCAAAAATCAACTGATTGTGTGAACGTGAACATTAATAGAATATCCCCTCCCATCTTCAGAGCAATCTGACTATTATAACATTAGCGTTAAGAAAGCTTACTTAAATATCTGCCACAACATAAGTAACCGGATCAGAGTAACATTAAGTACAGTCCGCGGCACTGTGAGTGCAGACGTAGATGTGTCCCATTATCATTCATATCATATCACCATTCATAATGTATCATATATCTCCTTATCTGAGTCAGCTGAGCCGTATCTGGCCGTGCAACACTCACAGTGTCACATACTGTATGCAGAAGTATTATTTTAAGCAACACATTAAGTTGACGAAACACTCGAGTCTAATGTAATTAAAGTCAGATCGTGTCTTAGACGGGGCAGTAGTGATTTCATAACCTGTTAATGTACGCATTCAACACTTTTTCTTTACCAGCTGTATTCACCTTGCAGGTGCAGCTATGTGGCTTTGATCCTGGATAAAGTGTTTTAAGTCATGGATGTTTAAAGTTTAACTTCTTCATATTTGACTAATATTAAAGTTCACTTTTCATTCAGGAAGTATGACGCTGCGCTGTCAGTACGCTTGTCCATGTTTGTGATTGGTTGAATGCTGCTATGTTGAACTGGATTCTTAGTAGAGGCCTCAGCTGATTAGAGAAATAAACATCACAACAAACTGAGAGGAAACAGTTCGTCAGAGACGTAAAGAACAACAGGACAACACATTTAGAGAATATACAGATTCCTCTTTTTTTATATAAATAACTTTTCATTGCAATTCTTTTTGACTATTTTTAATATATATTTCTGTGAGATAAAAACAACAGCACAACAAACTGAACTGTGCAATGCATATCTTAATTATTAACAATACACCACTGCAGATATTGTTTTAAACACATTTTTTTTTTGTATAAATAACTTTTTATTGCAACTCTAATCCCCCCCCCCCCCCCCCCTCCTCCCACAATAATAAAGTATTATTGATTCTAAAGCATCTCCACAGTCCCCCCTCACCTGTTCATGGCGACGATGAAGGGCAGCTTGGTCTTGTAGAGAATACTGGAGGAGGAAACACAAGAGCTGAAAAACTCTCTGGAGAAACTCCACAGATATAAAATATAATTATTACACATTCACTCTACTCTTAGAAAAGGGTTTTAAATTGTTAACAGATATAGAAAGAATAGATGCAACTGATATTGTTTTAAAAACATATTGACTTTGTCCACATGGTCCATTATTATCTCATTTAATTCATGTTAGTTGTATTTTTATTATAAACAGCAACATATGTTTTATTTATTAACTGTGACCAACAATTATACTACTGTAATTATTATGATCTGGTCTGTTAGCAGCCCCCTGCTGGATGTAACTTAAACAAATCACATCATCATTCCTGAATGAAAAACAGCTCAATGTTTATATTTCACATTTAAATCACTTCATATTTTCTCAGGATGATTTATTTGCTAATTATTTAAGAGGCGCTCAGTTCTGGTGTTGGAAAGAGAGTTTTATGAATTTAGTTTGAGTTTCTATTCACAGATTTCTGTCACAGTTTAGCAGAGGAGGTGTAGGAGAGATGGTCAAATAAATAAAGGTTCATGGAGAGAAAAAAAAAGTATTTAGTGCAAACGAGAAAGTTACCGGTGCGCCAAGTAGGAAGTGGAGCGCACAGGAGACAGACGTTTCATTGCAGACTGTTATGTCTATGTGGGGAAATAGCAGTGCATACATTACTTGAGATATATTTCAAACTCAGACTTCATTTTAGGGACATTTTGGCCAGGGGTGTAGAGCTAGAGTCAGCACGCTTCTCCATGTTTGTGATTGGTCAAATGTTGCTAACCCCGCCCCTTTCACGTGAGCGCGCTCTCAGCCGGACGGAGAAACCCTGGTTGATTGTACGGAGTGGATAACCAGCTGCGTATGACCCGCTTAGGCGAGATCGCGTTTGTTAGGGTTGTAAGCCGGGTAACTCAACATATTCCAGGAGTCTGTTGAACTGGCTTTTGTTTCAAATTACCATGAACAGTAATTTACACAAATCTGGTTCTGCCGTAGTTATGTGTATTCCCAAGTAGACGAAATTCGTTTAATCCCCGGAGTGCACCAAAACGAACGACACTATCATAACAGAATGCACACAAACACACACACACACACACACACACACACACACACACACACCACACACACACACACACACACACCACACACACACACACACCACACACACAGCACACACACCCACACACACACCACACACCACACACACACACACACACACACACACACACACACACACACACACCACACACACACACACACACACACACACACACACACACACACACAACACACACACACACACACACACACACACACACACACACACACACACACACACACACACACACCTGCAGGCGTACAGCATGTTGCTCATGAAGGTGACGGGGCTCACGCTGCGGGTGGTGTCCATGACGTAGACCACGACGCAGGGGAAGGACGACGCCTGCAACATATTCCTAATAAATACTTGAATACTGAACTGAAAATAACATTTAAATATCAAACATAGAAAATGAATGCATAACTAAAAAATGTTTATTGAAGAACGCTGAAATAAATGTGTATAAAAATCAAATATATTTCAAACATTTTGTTTACCTAAATGTATTTGGTTTATGTTTTTTAGAGCTTAGTATTCATTTTGGAAAGAGGCCTGAAAAACATATTGGAAAATAAACAGACTTTGAAAACATCCATAAATACAGATGCTCACCAGAGTCTCAGTGATGATGGTTTCCTGACGCAGACCAGGTGAAGACCCTCAAATCTGACCCGGGGGTGTCGATCAGGACGTACCTGCAGGGGTCAAAGGTCATCACAAGCAGGATGTGACTGACCTGATTTAAATTAAATGTTGATATTATAGTAGTTTACAGGTGAATACTGACCGGTGGTTCTGCTGCTTCTTCTCTAAGAACTGCATCACCTGAGGAACGCACATCATCATTTATACTGTTTCTAATACCGTGTTTATAACTGCTTTTAATCAAATGTCTGTACAGTTTTTGTAAACATTGTTATACTGCATTGATACTGTTTTTAATAATGTTTTCATACTGAGGAACACAGCATCAGATCACTTTATCAGGACTTGTTTTACACTTCGACAATGAAGCGCTTTTCGGGGTCACTTTTGATCAAATATCCAGTAATGCTAACAGCTTGAATGTTTGTAATAATATCCGGCAGGCCCAACGCTCCTCCGTCATCAGCCTCGCACGTATTCAACAATGTAAATGTTTATAATAAATGCTTTTATAATACTTTCTCCGCCACGCCGTATGAAAACAAGCGCTCCCTTACAGAGAGGAACCAGCCGGAGTTGAAGAAGTTTTCATTTAAAGGGGACCTATCATGCAAAATGCACTTTAGTACGTCTTTTCTACATGAATATGTGTCCCCGGTGTTCCAGGGAACTCACCAAGTGTCAGAAAACACAACCCTCTCTATTTTCCTCCATACCCAAATCTCTAAAAAAGGGGCTGCAACGGATCTGATAAAAACTGATCCAGATTTGAACACTGTCCTGACGTCAGGACGGTGGGCGCTACGGCTATTGGGCCAACTCCACCAATCAGGAGGAGACAGCCACGGCCATTGCCGTTCGAAAGCGCTGGAGACGCTGTAGTACATATGCCAGGCCAAGTAGGTGGTGCTGTTCTCACTGAATCTGCCCTTGCTAAAACAGAGCTAAAAATTGTCAAAATTGAGCGAAATGAGGCATGGCTAAAATGCATGATCTGTTTGGTATTTTGAAAAAAAAAAAAGTATAAATATGCCTTATATAGGTATGGTCCTACTCTATATTATTCAATATAGCATGATAGGTCCACTTTAAATATAGCATGATAGGTCCACTTTAATTTAAAGATATAATCGTGCTTTGCTGTCGGCTATTACATGCAATATTACCATGGTGTACATATCTGCTATTTAGTTTTTTACTTATTGTGTTATTAATAACGTGTGCATACTTATGGTTGGGAAAATACTGAACGTCCTCTTCCAACATGAGAGTAACATGCTAACAAAGGTATCCCAACTGTAGCTGTGAACATGACAGGATGTATGATTACCTAGAAGAGCATCAGGACTGTTTGAGGCATATGATAGCTATGTGATTAACATGATGATTCAGCCTCTATGGAGATAGACATATGACAAGCATGCTCATTTCTGACGTGGAGCTAATCTGAAGTAAACATTGAATACTGCTTTCTATTCCTCCATCTTGTGACTGTGTAACTCCCTCTCTTGGATATCAGCATGTGAAGGACACTGTTCAGGAACTAGTTGATGCTCTGTATGTGATGACTACTTCCATTCTGGAGAGGATCACAAATACATGGATCCTGAGATTGAAGCTCAAGCCGGGGACCAGGGATTATTAACATTTTTGAGAAAAAGTCAGATTTCTGAGATTTTGAGAAAAAGTCAGATTTTTGAGATTTTGAGAAAAAGTCCGAATTTTAAGATCTTTGAGAAAAGGTCAGATTTTTGAGAAAAAGTCAGAATTTTGAGATTTTTAGGAAAAATACCAACAAATTATCTTTTTTAGTTTTGACTACTTCCATTCTGGAGAGGATCAGAAATACATGGATCCTGAGATTGAAGATCAAGCCGGGGACCAGGGATTATTAAAAATGTAAAGTATTCAGAAAAGTCAGAATTTGGAGATTTAGAGAAAGCACTGAAACCTATAGAACACATTACAGAAAAGCAGAATAGAGCCTCTTTAAAATGTGCAGAGCTTTCTTTGAGACCTGGTCGAAGCGCGTGGCGAACAGGTTGAGGGACGTGACGATTCCTCCGTTTGGTCCGAGTCCGTATTGCTTCATCACCTCCTTATAGTTCACCGTGTCTCTGATGTCTGCAGGAAAACACACAGAGTGAAAGTGTGTGTGTGTGTGTGTGTGTGTGTGTGTGTGTGTGTGTGTGTGTGTGTGTGTGTGTGTGTGTGTGTGTGTGTGTGTGTGTGTACCGATGTTAGCAGGGAAGGGCACCTCGTGCACGGCGGGGTCCAGGTTGATGACGTAAGGAGGAGATTTACGAGTGTGAAGGTAAGACGTCAGCCTCTGGAGGAAACAACAACTAACACTTATTTATCCTAAACAACAACCATCACTTATCCTTTAGATTGAATTATATATTATATTATTATTTTAATATTTTGTTATCTTGTTATTATTTAGTTATAATGTTTTTCTTATTTCAGTTATTATTTTATTATATAATAATATTTGTGATCATATATATTTTTTATTTTTTTATTCAAAATTGTTTTCAAATGTTTTTTTATTTTTATGGTTTTAGTAAAACATTATTATTGTTGTAGCGCAACTAAATAATAATTAATCTCAACCATATCTGTGTTTGTGTTTTATTGATCTCTCTCTCTGTTTTAACATTGATTTAATACCGTTATAATAGGGAAATTGAATCAACATAGTATTAAAAACAGTGTCAATACTATTAATACTGTTTTTAATGTATTGATACTGTTTTATACTGTTTTTCATACGGCTTTTAATACTATATTTATACTGTATTTATAACTGTTCTAATACTGTATTGATAATGTTATATCAGTCTTATGCCTAGTCACATGGTAAGCTATACCAAGTGTGTTGTTGAGTTACAGTTTCCAGATTTAGAGAGACCCATGGCTAATTATCAATGGATGTATTCACTTAAAGTGAGCTGACGCCGAGGTCAGAGGGAGTACAAAGAGGCCCTCAGGTCATAATACAGTTAAGTCTTTGTTATTTAATTACTCCTAAAGACGTAGTAAGTAGTAATGCATTCAGAGGGAAAACATCCCTATTCGTGTGCTAGTTAAACATGGTTAGGAAAAATGTGTGTGCGTTCATTACAGTAGCTATGCTGTGTGATTGTTGTACTCATGGGGCCACTACACCATTTGACTGCTTGTGTGCAAGGTAGTGTTTCCGCGTTATTATTGATTGTTGTACAACGAAATAATAATTAATCAACTATATCTGTGTTTGTGTTTTATTGATTCCTCTCCGTTTCATTATTTCCTGCTGTGAGTGCTGAATTGCCACAACAATACTGTATTTATTACTGTTCTAATACTGTTTTTAATAATGTATTGATACTGTTTTCATACTGTTTTCATACCGTTTTTATACTGTTTTTAATAATGTATTGATACTGTTTTTAATACCATTTTTAACACCGTTTCAATACCATTTTTTATATCGTTTTTAATACTGTATTGACACTGTGTTCATATACTGTTTTTCACCCTTAGCAGAAGCAGCTAGCTCCCGTTAGCTCTCGATAGCTCCCGATAGCTCCCGTTAGCTCCCGATGCTAACTCACCTGAACGAAGGTTGTTTTCCCGGATCCCGCCATCCCCAGCACGATCAGACACACCGGCTTGTCCCGGGCAGCAGCCCCCGGTGTCCGTGTGTCTTCCCCCGGTGTCCCGGTGTCTCCTGAGGCCGCTAAACCCTCCCGGTTCTCAGTTAAATCCTCCGGAGCTGCGGAGGCCATGATGTCTGATGTTGTGGTGAACTGCCGTAAAGACACTAGTACCGTCGCAAAATGTGAGGTGGCGGAGTACACTTAGTGACCGCCAGAGGGAGCCACATACCTTATTTTAGTTTAGTTAGTATATTTAGTTTATTGTCTACATTTCTAATTCAATATTGTTTTCAAGTTTTATGTAAAAATATTTGAAAACAATAATGCATTTAATTCTTATTTTTATCACTTTATTTTTATTATTTTACTAAAACATATTTTTTAATATTACAAATCTTTATATGTCATTTTTTAAGTTAGATTTTGTGATTGAATTATATGTTATATTATAATTTTATTTGATATATTTCTGCGGAGCCCCTAAAGGGACATGAAAGTCATGACAGTCATTGCAGACTGTTATGTTTATGTGGGGAAATTACAGTGCATACATTATTTGAGATATATTTCGAACTTGTAGTGCAGAGAAACGGGAGTCGGAGGCGGTGTATCTAATGGCGCATTTCCACCACAGACACGGTCGGCCTCGGCCTCGCTCGGTACTGCTAGGCCGCGTCGGGGCCTTGTTAGGGCCGCTCACTTTATGCTGCGCTTCCATTACAGTTTAGGAACTGGGGTAGTTACTATAGTAACGCAGTGTAGGCGGAGCCGTGACGTCATCTTCAATGAGAACCCCAGAAAAACACACAGCCGTTAGCTGTTAGCACTCAGAGCTCACAGCTCCTCATATCTGTTCAGAAACTAGACAAAAGTTAAACAAGTACAAACCACAGACTGTCTGTGTCATGGTGAATACAGTCGCTGCTTTATTATGTCTGTAGGCCGTTGTTGTGAGTGTGGACGGTCGGAGCATATATTGCGTTAGCGCTTAGCCAATCTCCATTTAGAAAACACGCATTTTAAAAGGATTTTCGCCTGCCGTCTGTCTGCAGACTTGTCAAAGCATTAATTCATGGTTTTTACTAAACGGTATCAGTATGTTGTTACTTCATCATCATTTGAAACGTGTATTACAATTAAATCACGGTCAAATATGTTCATCTTGTTGTAGTTGTAGCCCCCTTGCCAGCGATTCTCTCTCTAGTTTAGCAAACTCAGCCCGACTCAGCCCTGTTTGTTGGCCACTGATAGAACCACGATTTTGTCGGGCCAGAAAAGAGGTGAAAAAGTACCCCAGGGCCGGAACTAGGCCTAGTGGAAGCGCAACCAAAAACGGGCCCGGCACGACACGGCACGCTTAAACCGCGCTCCGTGCCACGGTGGAAATGCCCCATATGGTACAAAGTTGGCTTTATTGAGCAGCAGAAACACACATGTTGTCGGGTCGAAGCCCGGGAAGACAAGAGGAAGAAGAAAGGAGGGCACACAGTAGGTACAGACACATATATGTCCGTGGGCGAACAATACCCCCCAACCCGTAGTTCCATGAGTGAATTTATGTCAATCAGTGATCACTACACCAAGCCCCCCCCCAGAATTCAACCATGGACACAATCCTCTCGTCCGGGAGGAAGCACCACAGGGGCCGAGGAGGGTGGGGCCGGCAGGTGAGGGGCCGGGCCATGGAACGGGGCCGTCTGAAGGGGGCCACAAGAGAGGGTAGGGGCCCCCAACGAGGGCGAGGGCATCCCCACCGGGGGGGTGGGGGCGGGCCGTGGAACGGGCCGTCGTAAGTGGGGCCGCAGGGGGCCGCGGTAGTGCGTCGTGGGCGAATGAAGACAACATCCGCCATCCGTAGAAAAGCTCGGTCGCTGTGCTGCGACGTGGGGATGGGCGTGAATATCCCGTGGTCCCCAGCAGGAGGAGCGTCGCCCGGCCGCAGGTGAGTGCACAGCGCGGGGCGGGCACAAAGTCTTCGGGAGGAAGGAGCCGTGGACAGGGGAGAGGCCAGACGGGGTCCAGAAGTGTGCCTCCCAGGCACCGATGAAAGCGTGGGCAACGTCCGAAGCCGCCGTCGAGGCGGGGGAAGAGGCCGGACGGGGTCCAGAAGTGCGCCACCCAGGCGCCGATGAAAGCGTGGGCGACGTCCGAAGCTGTTGCCGAGGCGAGGGAAGAGGCCGGACAGGGTCCCGAAGCGCGCCACCCAGGCGCCGATGAAAGCGGGGGCGACGTCCGAAACTGTGGAGGCGAGGGGAGACGGGGTCCAGAAGTTCGCCACCCAGGCGCCGATGAAAGTGTGGGTGACGTCCGAAACCGCCGTCGAGGTGGTGAAACAGTGAGAGGGTCCACACGAGGCCGGCCTAGACATGGCCGAACCTCCTCTCAGGCACCGGAAAAAGCTCAAAAGGGTCGTCCTGTCCACTATCGAAAACAGGTGGGCGAAATTGTGAGAGGATCCACACGAGGCCGACCAGACTTAGTCGAACCTCCTCTCCGGCACCACAAAAAAGGGTTAACAGTTGGATGTTAAAGCTCCCATGTCATGCTTTTCCGGTTATTACCCGTCCCCTTGTGTGTTATGAAGGTTTTTATGCATGTAAACGGTGTGCAGAGTCAAACCCTCAAAGTACACCCTGTAGCGAGTAAAACCCTAAACACAGAAAATACCTCCCCAAAACGCCTCGTTGGAGATACGTCACTGCCCATTTGATTCTTCCGGGTACCGCATGATGTCATGCGGTACCCGGAACGAAATGGACCAATCCCGAAGAGCTATGGCCACACCAGCAGCGGCGTGTTCCTCCTCCAGAGGTTCAAAGAACCGGCATTTCACAGACGAAAGCTTCCAAAACATTGCCCAGTTTGAGGCCGGATATGCACAGCTTGTTTGGACCGTTTGGAGCAGGGGAAGATCTGGGTATACAACCTGTAAGTTTGCATTGTTATTTGTGTATTTATCAAACAAGACTGTTTAAATGTGTAAACTGTGTTGGACTGCTAAGCTATTGACACAGTGCTAACTGTGCTAACTAAGTTGCTAGAGTTTCCATATATCAACTCTAATATCAGCAGATGGCCTTGCATACATGTATCTCATAGCAGGAGAATGTCTGCATTCACACACAAAATACCTATTGACAGTATACTGCGGGTGATTTGCCGGTCAGTCGCGAAACGTAATTACATTATAGCTGGCGTAGCGATCTAACACACGGAGCACTAGTTTTGGTCAGAAAACATTTTTGTGATGCTACGTTGCTAGCGTTTAAATATATCAACTACAATGTCAGCAGATGGCCTTACATGTTTGTCATGGCAGGAGAATGTCTGCAGTCACACACACGGAATACTCATACAGTATACTCCGGTTTACCGTACATTGTGACCGTACATATACTGCATGTAGCTAACGAGGCTAGCTGTATGCTAGCGCAAAACAATGTATTCATGCAAGTTACATTGTATGGTAGCAGAATACCCGTATACGATTGCAATTATAACACGTTATTGCTAGCCTAATATGAACCACTAGCTTTTGTTCATAGTAGTTTTATTACACTGCATTATAGTTGCCTTTCCTCCAAGCTAACGTTCATATCGTGTTAGCTACCAAGGTAAACAAAGCTAGGTTAGCATATTAGCAGGCAAGCTGTTCATTACACAACTACTACTAACGAATCTAAAACAACTAAGTTTCTCTAATATTTTGTGATTTGCATTTGATTTCGTCCAGCCAGATCCTGGCGGACAATCCATGACGGGGAAGGGATTCTACTACTACTGAGGCCTCGTGCTAAAGGCACCGCACCGCACCGGCTGTGCGCAGGCAAGAGGAGGAGGAATGGATGATATACCGTGTATATATGTATATTTATGTTCATTTTGTACATTTCTAAAAATAAAGTTTAATGGAAATACTTAGTAGGCCTATCCTTTCTTCCCTGAATTCATATATAGCAAACCATGATTTGATTTCTCATCAAACAGTAGTAGTTTATAACGGGTAAAAATAACTTACTCTTTGTTATGAGAGTAGCTCGTAGGCCACAACGGAAAGACAAGGAGACATACACGAGTTTACAAAACCACGGCACATTTATTGTGGTAAATGCAGAGACAGGTGGTTGAGAGGATCGCAGAGTTAGTCTTCCTGCAGCCGCTTTGGAGAGAGACTGGGGCCGTAGTGTCCGGAGGTGTCCGTGATCGTGCTGATTAGCCGCTTCAGCTCCACCCCATCGTAAGACAAAGGCCCTGGGGCCGTCACACTCTTCTATAACAACAGTTAAAAATATATATGTATATAAAATATACCGCTGTACCGACGCCATGATAAGACTGATGTTACGCTGAGAGCAGCCGGGAAAAGCACTGACATGGGTGCAGCCTCTCTGGTGGTTGACTAATCAGAACGAGTGGCCGAGCTGACCAATCGGAGCACACTAGGCTCACAGGGAGGGGGGGGGCAAGAGCTCCAACGAGTCGTTTAGTGGAGAAAGTGAATACTGCTGAATACACATGCTTGACAGAGATGCTGTATGCGAAACCAATGTGAGTTTGGAAAATTGCACAGTATAAATCTATTTTAGTATACCTCAACAATGTAATTATGATCAGTGGAAATGGCCATGACATGGGCCCTTTAACAGATGGATGAAGTCAGCCGTTAGCTGCTAGCTGTTAGCTGTTAGTCGTCGTTAGCCGTTAGCTGCCAGCCGTTAGCTGCCAGTCGTCATCGTTAGCTGTTAGTCGTCGTCATTAGCCGTTAGCTGTTAGCCGTTAGCCGCTAGTCGCTGTCGTCGGCCTCGGAGCCTCTGCTAGGTGGCGTGCCTCTACCAGGGAAGGTGCCGCGGCGTGTCGGGGCCAGCACCTCAGGGGTAAAACGCCGGGCGGCCAGGAAGAACCGGTCAGCTCCTTCGGCTAAAGCGCGGGGCTCAACACTAGCCGTGTTAGCGAGCGCTGTCTGGACATGCGGCCGCATGTCCCGAAGAAACAGTCCCATGAACAAGAAATCGGGTTCTTCCGTACCTAGCAGGTCGTGTATCATCTCCATGTGGTCGGAAGGCTTGCTGTCTCCCAGTGCCGAAACGATGTGGAAATGGCGAGCTTCGTCCTCGGCCATTCCGCGGACCTCAGTCCGTACCTCAGTCCGT